TGGTGAGGCCGCACCTGGAATACTGTGTCCAGTTTTGGGCCCCTCACTACAAGAAAGACATTGAGGTGCTGGAGCGTGTCCAGAGAAGGGCAACAAGGCTGGTGAAGGGTCTGGAGCACAGGCCTTATGAGGAGCGGCTGAATGAACTGGGGTTGTTTAGTCCGGAAAAGAGGAGGCTGAGGGGAGACCTTATCATTCTCTACAGCTACCTGAAAGGAGGGTGTAGTGAGGTGGGTGTTGGTCTCTTCTCCCAAGTAGCTAGCAATAGGACGAGAGGAAATGGGCTCTAGCTGCGCCAGGGGAGATTTAGATTAGGTATTAGGAAAAATTTCTTCACGGAAAGGGTAGTCAAGCATTGGAAGAGGCTGCCCAGAGAGTGGTGGAGTCACCATCCCTGGAGGCATTCAAGTGGGTAGATGTGGCACTCTGGGACATGGTTTAGTGGGCGTGGTGGTGTTGGGTTGATGATTGGAATGATGATCTTAGAGGTCCTTTCCAACCTTAATGATTCCTAGTTTTTACTTTTTTTATAAATGTTCCAGCCACCAAGCCAGGAAACATGAAATTTCTCCTCTCCCCTTAATTGGTTTAGTGATGGACTTGGTAATGTTAGGTTAATGGTTGGACTTGATGATCTTAAAGGTCTTTTCCAACCTAGATGATTCTATGATTCTATGATTCTATGATTCTATGATTATACTTTGTCAGAAAGGAATACAAGCCTTGAGGTTCTGATCTGGAGTCAGCTCCTGTCTGACCTTAGGTATATTTGGACCTGGTTTCTGAATCACACCAGGCATGAACAAAGCTTGTGATCCAACAAAACAGACATTTAAAAAAAAAAATGCTAGACTCATTGGCAGTTTTCAGTACTAAGCTTAGTTTCAAAACAATCAATACATATACAGGTGAAAGCCATAACAAACTTGCTGATCTTATGAAGTCATAACACAATCCTGAACATTACGACCCTTTGAAAAAGTACTGGTGAGGTCTCACCTGTTGAGGAAAGGTGGTTAATGGCATTCCAGGAATTCCGGATGCTTTCTGAGCAGCCTGTCCCACTCTTTTTGAAATCGTTAGTCACTATGCTGAAATAAGTGCCACATGGAACCAAATCGCCAAACTGCCAGATTGGGGCAGAGGCTGCCAGAGCTCTGCAAAGGGACATAAAAAGATTGTTTGGAAAAACATATGCATCCTGTACCCCTGCAAAGTGAACTTCCATCCTCTGGTCAATACACTCCCCACAGCCACTATTTAAGTAGTGTTTATAATTTATCTTGGACACTGAGCCCTAGGCAAACTAACCACAACGTTGCAAAACTATTTCATAGGTCTGCACGCAAAGGCTGTTGAAGGTTATAAGTCTTGGACTCTAGTACAAAGATATCAGTAAATACAAAAAGTAGAAATTCAGACTTGCTTACGTCATTATTTTTTGTTCTCATCTAGCAACTAGGTCTTTCTCACTAGGTGTTTTGCAAACTCAACTGAAGACAGCCCCTGCCCACAAAAATCTGCTCTCTAGCAGGTGCAGTTGACATGCCTGAGGGACAAGATGCCATCCAGAGGGACCTAGACAAGCACAAGAAGTGGGCCCATGTGAACCCCCAGTATCAATACAGGCTGGGGTATGAAGGGATTGAGAGCAGCCCTGCAGAGAAGGACTTGGGGCACTGGTGGATGAAAAGCTGGACATGAGCCAACAATATGCGCTTGCAGCCCAGAAAGCCAACCGAATCCTGGGCTGCATCAAAAGAAGCATGGCCAGCAGGCTGAGGGAGGTGATTCTGCCCCTCTACTCTGCTCTGCTCTGGTGAGACCTCACCTGCAGTACTGCATCCAGCTCTGGAGCCCTCAGCACAAGAAGGACATGGACCTGCTGGAGCAGGTCCAGAAGAGGGCCACAAAAAATGATCTGTGGGCTGGAGCACCTCTCCTACAAGGACAGGCTGAGGGAGTTGGGGTTGTTCAGCCTGGGGAAGAGAAGGCTCCGGGTACACCTTATTGCAGCCTATCAATACCTAAGGGGGGCTTATAAGAAAGATGGGGACAGACTTTAGTAGGGCCTGGTGCGATAGGACAAGGGGTAACTGTTTTAAACTAAAAGAGGGTAGATTTAGATTGGACATAAGGAAGAAATTTTTATGATGAGGGTGGCAAAACACTGGAACAAGTTGCCCAGAGAGGTGGTAGATGCCCCGTCCCTGGAAACATTCCAGGCCAGGTTGGTCAGGGCTCTGAGCAACCTGATCTTGTTGAAGATGTCCCTGCTCATGGCAGGGGGGTTGGAGTAGATGACCTTTAAAAGATCTCTTCTAACCCAAACTATTCTATCATTCTATTTACTAATCTTGTTTCCCAGAGAAGAACTAAGGCACTGAAGAGATTAAAGACCTGCCTCAAGTCACCAGGAAGTCTGGTGGCCCTAAAAAAAATTAGGTGCAAAGTCAATGTTGATAATAATTGTTTTTACAAAACTAACAGATAGCTCTGAAAACATACACCATCCAGTATCTGCTGACCTACAGTTGTCTCTAGCAGGCAAACAGTGCCTCTTCCCAAACTCAAGACAACTTAATTCCTCCTCACAATAGTGAAAAATTCAAGCCAGTTTGAATTATGGTACTTTCTCCCAGTGCTGTAATATTTATAGCACAGAAGTAACAAATGCCTGCTCTGTGTTCGAGCAGCACAAGTACACTCACCCAGCTACCACATGGGGGTACTTCATCCTAAACCAGGCTGCAAGCATTCCTCCATAAGATCCTCCTATAGCTATGACAGGACTGTAACGGGCTCCTGCAATGGTAGTCTTTAAGTACTCAACCAGTACTGCGAAGTCTGCCAGAGCTTGTTCTGATGTCAGGTAATTCAGATGCTTGGAATCCTGAGAAAAAGAAAGCAGGTTACATACAGCACAGGAGTAATTTCCAGCAGCAGTCTTTCTATTCCCCACAGCAGCTGTCGAGTTCTAAATCTGTGCCTGATAACAAATGAAATTTTCTAGCACTTCAAGGGACACCTGCAAAGAATATCTCAGATTATATTTTTTTATCTTAGAATTGATAGTTACAAAAATAGGACAGCTGTGTGCTTCTAGTACATCTAAATCTTACTCAGGCTAACAGTCATTGCACTGGCAAGAATTACAATAGGCAGAATTATGCTTGTATAGAACACATTTAAGGAAGACAAAAGACACCACTTACACTGAAAGACTCATTCCCAAAGGGCAAAGATTCTCCGTAATATCTATGTTCAGCAAATACTAACATGGCATTAAGTTCTTCAGCCACATCCCACATAAAACCCTGGTTGGAGGAAAACAGGCATTTAAATAAGTTAAATCAACTGTTTTCAAAGTCTCTACTTCCAGTCTAGTGTATTTAACTCTTATTCTTTTATTAGAAAGATATCACTATCAAAACACAACTATAAAGACAGAGCACAATTTGGTTTTAAAGTATCATTGAAATAAGAAAACACACAAAACAGATATCCATGCAGAGACAGGGACACATACAAAGAAAATACGTGTATTTCAATGATGCAAAATATTAAGCAGTATTGTTTTGTGAATACACACAGGCAATCCTGCCAGAACTCCTATGGCATGAGATTAGTCCATAGGAAATAAAAAACACTAGAGGAAAAAAGCATGCATTTGAGTTACAGAAAACACAAAATTTGCTAGCAATAAGCAATAATCTAGAGCATCACCCATACACTTATTTTCAACTAATACATAACTACAACTTGTTATTACTTGTTGACAGCAGCTTATTACCACCAGTTATGGAAACAGGCAGACCAAGATCACCTGCTGACAGAACAAAGTGCGTAAGCAGTCCTTGGTTGCTTTGAGCCCAGCATTTGCCACCTCCTGTTGTGTTACTGGACTTCGTATTGAAGTGGCTGAAAAATGCTGACATGTACCATGTGCATTTGTATCAGTCAGGGAAGTGAAAACTTCCACAGGTCTTGTCAGAGAACAAGAATCATCTACCTTTGATTTCCAGACCCCTTCATTTCACTTCACATTTTTCTTATGACAAAAAAGCCATCAAAACCTCCCATTTTGCTTGGGGAATCTAAAGTACTGGGTTAAGTGTAATTTGGTCCAAAATTTTGCATTCTTCACTTGAGGCACCTTATCGTGTTTCCTCTAGAAATTTTCCTTGCTACTCCAAGAAGTTAATACAAATACACCAAAGTGCATCCCTTTGGTTTCTGTGGGCTTCAAATAGGACCCTGAACGCCCTAGAACTTTTTCTGTGCTTTTTTTCAGCTTTCTCTTCCTCCTATAACAATCATAACAGCCATTACAAACTTCTCTTTAAAAGATATTCTGACACTGTGTCCTTGTTCTTCCTTATCTTTCAGTAGGCCACTACTGGAAAGAAGGACTGCAATTCAAGAATCAAGAATCTATTTTCTACATACTGTATTGTTGCAGAACCACGTGATGTCTCCTTCATTGCCTGTATAAAATAGTATCGGCCCATTGTCTTTCTTCCAGTGCTGATCTGCTATTAAATACCGCTGCTGGAACATAAGGTTTTCATCAAATCCGAAGTGATCAATCTGTAAGAACAAGGAATAACAACATGTTCAGAAAGCTAAAATTGATCATGGAGTCCACTGCAAGCCCTGACAGTCACTTTGCAGTTGAAAAGTAAAGAAAAGCAAGAAAGTTTTACTAAGGTAAAAAAATATGACATTGAATTTATAGATTCATAGAATCGTTTAGGTTGGAAAAGACCTTTAAGATCATCCAGTCCAACCATTAACCTACACTACCAAATCCACACTAAACCAATCAAGGGTAGACTAGACTAAACCATGTCCCCAAGTGCCACATCTACCCGTTTTTTGAACACCTCCAGGGATGGTGACTCCACCACCTCTCTGGGCAGCCTGTTCCAATGCTTGATTACCCTTTCTGTGAAGAAATTTTTCCTAATTTCCAGCCTAAACCTCCCCTGGGGCAGCTTGAGCCCGTTTCCTCTCGTCCTATTGCTAACTACATGGGAGAAGAGACCAACACCCACCTCACTACAACCTCCTTTCAGATTATTCAGATATTCTTAGATTCCCCATACATCAAAATTCTTCTGCTTTATTAAGGAAACCAGCCAAAATTACAGGTGTATACACTGATGGAGAAATATTATTTTCAGCTATAAAAATCCATGCCCTTTTTATACTATCATACTTAACATGATATATTCTAAGTATATTTAGGAAATCAGACAAAGCTGCTGAGGGGTCACAAAGTATCTGATGTAATAAAACTGTGTCAACAAGTAAAGAGTCATTGTCCCTCAATGTTTTGAGTCTTAGGAAAATTCTTTACTAGCCTTATTTATTAAAAAGCTCAAAACAACAAAAAACCCCATCTCCTCCTTCTCTCCCCCTTTTGGCATAAGACTGAAATTTAAACAGATTCTTGTAGAAAGTGGGAAGGTTTTAATTCTTAGAAAATACTAATTCTCTGTACTTCTTGTGCTATTGACAGATTTTTCAGACAGTTTTATGGAGTGCTGCTTCTCTCCTTGCAATTTTCACTAATCCACATACCCTCCACAATTTTTTCCACTGCCCTATAAATATTGCAAGCCTACACATACCCCTTAACCTAAACACCAGTATTAGCTTTATTCCCTCATTAGAAAGTTAATTTCTATTCCCAAGGTCAGTTTTTCAGCTTTTATTCAGACCGCTTTGTATGTGCTGTCCCCCTTGACCCTTCCCCAAGCATTCACCCATACTGGAGAGTTTATCAATTGCTTTTTCAAGGTAACTCCCTGCATGGGCATAATATTGTTCTGGAATACCCACATAAGCTTTTATTGTTAAAAAAAATAATAAAAATCCCAAACCAAAATACCAACTACTCCAGAAGAGCTATGCTGGTTAATTACCATATATTCACAAATCATCACTACTTTTATTCATCAGTTGAAGATGACCTGCAGTTTCCCAATTTTGACTTCCGTCAGCACAAGGCATCATCTTTTCCTTTCGTATTGTTTCTTGCTGGCGGTAATAGCCTGACATCTGCTGGCTTCAACATCCCTGCTCACCCTCTGCCTTTACACCAAATCTGCCAAATCTCTCGGATGCTCCGGGAACTAACCTTTCACATTTCCTGTTTTGAGAACATCTGCAAGTTAATGGTAAAAAGCAGCATGTCACACACAAATCCAAGCACTCGCTGCTAATGCAGTGACCTAACTGCCAGGCAGATTCCTCCAGGCAGCTCAGGAAAGCCTAGCTAATCCTGCAGGACCCAGCTACTCCACACCATGTACTTATATTTGCTTTGGGTCAAAGACCGCAGGAACTTATGTAAGATATACAATCTGCTGCAAAGTGTCTTTTCCAAACTCTCAAAGCTTACTCACTCTTGGACTGAAGCGAGAGGGCAGTTGTGTTGCAGGTCACTGCCAGCAGAACATCAGGAGCCATTGAAGGTCTGTGCATGGTCTTGACAAACATAAGAGACCAGGTCTTTGCCCCGAATAAGTTAACTTCAATGACTGCTTCCAGACCCAAACAAAACTAATTTATCTGTGTCCTGCAGTTTGGTTCAGTGGGACCATTTACTCCTTACTCATAAGTACATGGTGATGTTATCATGTGTGTATTTAAGGGCTCTTTCACTGAATTCAAGCGCTGACAACATATGCTGGGCTTATTTTACACTGACAACTCACCTACTCCTTTTTCATTGGCACGGTTATTAATTTTAGTTTAACTTTCTACATCAAGCATAATCAAGAGCTATTAGATGTAGAAAGGCTGAACAAGGTCAGCAACTGAAAAAGTCTTTGGTCATAAGACCTTGGAACAGTTAAAGACAAGGATTAGATAAGGCATATCTAATAAAAACCACAGCATAGTTTAATAAACTCCAACACTATTAGAAAGTACAACTAATACATCTTTTGTTCCAGGTCTGTTTGTAAAGGGGAGAAGTATCTTTTTCAACTTAACTTTTCTGGCTAGGCTGCTAGCCAGAGATAGGAAAAAAATGGGCTCACGTGTCCTGTCTGCCTTTTATGGAATCATCTAAAATTAAACATTTAGCTTTAAAAACTTGATTCTGCATCCTTCCTGCCTGAAGCCACAGTGCCAACAAGACTACACCACAAAAAGTATTCAACTTTCCTGAACTACAAAGACATGTACCAAAATCTTCTCAGTGCAGGCAGCTTAATATGCAACAGGAAGAAACAAACATACAGTGGAAGGGGAAAAAAGAAAATCAGAATAATTTAATGGATAAGCATCCTTTTGGCACCAAGCTGAGGTTATTCAAGGGGGTATTGTGCAGATTCTAAAGCCCATCTTACTGTTCCTATTCCACAGGAGCTAGAAAGTTAGGACTGTAATATTCCAATATGAATATATTTTCCCAAATGACAGCTAACTTTCTTTAGAGATATGATTTACTACAGTTTCCTTGTGATGTGATCTGTCAGCCTACTCCCACAAAACAAACCCCAAAATCCCAATGCTCTAGTGAGTCTGCCTCTCAATACTAAGAGAGAGAAAAGTACAGAAATTTAAGTTTTCTTTTGCTGGTTTTAGTAACCACATGGATCAAAGTGTCCCGATTCTCCATCTTGACCCTGAGCCACGCTGTATACTCACTCACTGCCAGTCGTGTTGTTCTTTCCCATTCCTCCCTCAAACTGTAAAATTCTGATAGCCTCACAGCAGCTAAACTGCCTCTGTTCATCATATTCATAACACATCAAGCCAGACGTGTAAGATCCCAGACAGACAACACAGATACAAGTCTAGACTTCTCCAGAAAAAAAAAAATCACATGTTCCTATTACTCAACTGAGGAGCTCCTTTATTGCTAATGATAGGGCTTCATACCTTGTAGTAACTTATCTTTGCAAGGGTAAGACACAAACATGACTAAAAAATAACCTAATATTTGTAAAGCAGACACAGAGAGAGATGTCACAACTGCGGGTTATTGCCAAGAAATTCAAAGAAATTCTGAATCCAGAACATCAAAACAGTTTGGAGGTGTTTCAAGGAGTGTCTCCTCACAAGAGTAAAAACTGTTTGAAAATGTCAGAGGGAAGAAGCACAACAATTGATATAAAATTGTGAAGCAAAAGGTTTGGACCCAAAGGGAAAGCTGTAGGTCAAGAACAGCAGATGGAGCTGCGGCATAGCCAAACCGCGCTGCAGGAACACGCGGGGCTGCGCACGGGAGCTGCTGGTTCTCATTCACCAAGCGCTTTCGTTCACCACCCCTTACAGAACAGGTATGCAAACAAGTCATGAGCCCCACAAACTGTGTGAAGTCTACTTTACAACTCAAATCACCCAGATATTTTTTAGCTTTTTTTTTTTCTTAAGTCAGATCTCATTAAAAAGTTGAGCCAGAAAATTTCTTTTCCACACTTGAGCAAAAGGAGTAGACAAAAGCAGTGACTTTTGCAACCAGACTTAATTAGAATAGATCACAACAGCAAAAGAAAAAAGCCATTTACTACACATTTACTATACCTTAACTGTTGGTTAAAAGTAACAATGGTAAAGGTATACTAGCATATATGAGGTATTTCTCCTTACAATTTTCATAATTACAGTTATTGCCAGGATGTCAGCAGTAAGTACCAGGTCCTGAGCAACCTAATACAACGTTGAAATTGGCCCTGCTTTGAGTGGGAGGCTGGACCAGGTGACATGCGGACATTTCCCTTCCAAAACTCTATTCTAGGATTAATCCAAACCAGTTACACAGCCTAAAGTTTTAAGCTTCTGTAAACAGGACTACCTAGCAAGTTTGGTTAGAAATAAGAACACGGTAATTATCCGCAATACAACAGCAGTGTGTTGCAAATCAAAGTATGATGTACATAAAACACTGTCACAGAAACAGTCATTCTGATACTAATAAAAGGAAGGATTAAAAAAATAGAAAAAGGAGTACTGAAAGTACTAAGTTATGAATAAGCTTAAGGGAAACTTTTGTCAGCCGAGGTAGGCAGGATGGGAATACTTTGGAGAGCTACAGCTGCAAGGCAAAGAAAGCGAGCAACAAGATTTCAGTTGCGTGTACAAAAGTCTTCATGAAGCTTGTTTGATTAAAAAAAAGACTCACCCTGTATTTTCCTGCACATCTTTGAGTCCAAAGACTCACAAAGCATTTGGGGAAAATACAAACATACACACAACAAATTGTTTAAGAGGCAGCCAGCTCCAGATGGAAGACTGCAGCCACTGCCCAAAGCACGGCTGCTGAGAACTGCGCTCACCGCGTTTGACAAAAACCAGCAGCAGGCAGCACGAGCCATTGTGCCCAAGAGGCTGACGAGAGCTCCAGACTGAAGGCTCAAGTCAGCAGCTTTGATCCTTTAGCTCAGAGAAACTTTCTACAGCAACGTGCAGCTCATCGGCCCAGGACAAGGAGCCTTCTCCAGACTGGTGCACTGAACAAACACTGGAAGGAAGGGCCAAAACCCACCTTGCTGCCTTCTGCTTGAAACACATGGCACACTTCTTTGACTTGACCTTCTATGTGCACATGTATCATGCTTTCGTTGAGCTCTCAAAGATGGCTTATCTCAGGGTATCCTTTTTTAATGTGCTTTGTTGTTGTTTTGGAGGTCCATTTAAAATAAAACAAGCCACCCTGCCACACATCTCCCCTGGGGAGGAAACAAAAATGACACAGCAGATGTTAGTTATTCTACAGATGTTACCCTGCTTAATATAATCCTGGAAGTATTCAGGAACTGTGGCACTGCATGCAGTACAAAGCCAAAACAGGACATGTGGGCTAAAACCCACTTCCTTCTCCGCAGCATCTTAAGGTCATTAGGGACTACAGAGACAGGACAGCAAACCCAAGCCTTTACCAAAAAAGGCCACAATTCACAGAGTAGCTTCTAACCAAAAGCATTTAATGTCATTCAAGGTGGTGAATCAGCACCTGATGCTTTTACGCTTTTGAGTTTCTGGCAATATTGCAAATGTCTGAAAGCCTTTCTGTCACACCTCAAATTTCAGTCCTCCAGGCAATAACTTTATTTTCCCAAAGTTGGATATTCCATTTGAAATCAAGTCAGCTGTTTTACTAGTAAGAAGCCAGGGGATTTTAAGAGGCATGCTCCCCCCTCCAAGCGTTCATGGAGTTGTTTTGAGTGCTCATCCTGTCTGAATTATTTCCTGAGGACAGGAAGGTACAGGATGGTCTGAGGATATCCTCCTGTGCGAACAGCAGTGTGGGCACTAGCCTCTTTGGGATTTCACCGATGTGCTTCTATTCCTGGTGTTACTCCTGAGAGGCTGTGGGACTCCAGTCCAGTCAGCTGGCCCTGTTAGTTTTGTTTCCTCTCAAAAATCTTTGCTTCCTCCATTTAAGTTGCAAGTTCATGAGGGCAGGGACTGCTTTGCCATCTTTGTACAGCATCATATTCAACAGGCCCCAAATTTTGTTACAAGTACTACTACATGTAATTAAATATTCAAGCCCATAAAAACCATTGCAGCAGTAGAGTACCACTGAAAAAAATACAGACTCACACACTATTTATGTCTTCATAGCAGGGGAGACACAGAAACAGAAATGAAAGCTAAATAAAAATCAGTTTTAAAAAAGTCTCCCTCCCTGACACTATTCTTGCTGCTTTGTTTCCTCCTATTGCACATTGCATATTGTACCATAGCCTGCCAGGACTGAGGCTTCATCTTGCTGAGAGCTGGTAAGATTCTCTCAGTTTGTCCCTGCTAATTTAGTGCAGAAAAAAAGAAAAAAGGCAAAAAAAGGACAAAAAAAATCAAGGTTACCTTTGGTTCATCTTTGCCATTTCACATGCAAGGAATGAGGTGTTTCCTTGCTTTCTAAGCTGCTACTTATGCAAGGGACAGCAAAGACTGAATGTTAGCACCAGTCTGTTGAAATGCA